CGGCCATTGCTTGGCCAATGTGCTCTCTGTGAAAGCCTGAGAGAGTGTTTTCTCTCCATGTGACTCTCCTTAGGCACACTCTACATCATTGATTGGGGTATCATTTCTGAGCCGACATGGCCTGTTCCAGGTGTGGGTGGTAAGTGGACAGTGGCCTCCGTGTACAGGAAATGGCCTGAGGTCTTGTGTAAGGCACAGCGACACCACAGGGAAGCTTAGAAAGACCTGCTGCCGCCCAAATGCCAGAGGAGTTCCAGCTTCTGTTCTCCATTCAGGATCCACCTCCATGGACAGTGGATTCCCGGCAATGTCCCCTGTCCTTGTCCCTCCATCTGTCTTCTGTTGTCTTGTGGACCAGCTGCTCTGTCTCCCAGTGCCAAGGTGTAGTCTAATGCTGCTGGATGTTTAATGGTGGCTTCATCACTAAAGGGGGCACCTTCTGTACCTTGAGTTTTTGACATATGGAGCTACTGCGTAAGACAGAGAACTCTAGAGGGTGGGGTTCTGGATGATACACGTCTGCCAAAAACTGCCTAAGCCACTGCCTAAGCCATTGCCTAAGCCATTGCCTATGAGGATGGAAGGCTGTCAGCACATGTTGCGGTGTGTCTTACAGAAAGAGCTCCTTTATCACAAGCTAAATATACACACACATCTGGTGACGGCCAGCAGTCAGAGAAGCCAGAGGGGAGTGGAGGGGAGAGTGGAGGGGCCAGCTATTGCCTCATGCCAGCAGAGTAAGCTAGCACACAGGGATGGGGGTGTGTGTCCACACATGCACACTAAGAACAGCAGCTGTCGCACATTCATCCTCCAAATATCTCTTAAGAATCTCTCTCGGAACCCACCCTAATCATTCACATACAAAAGAGGAAGGTCTAGAAAATGTAGTGCAGCCTAGCTAGGTCGACCCATCTCCAAGTACATGGACTGTGTGCATTTGTTATGGTTTTGTGTATTTGTCCCCCCAAAACCTCATGCAGTCACTGAGGTGCTGTTCTGTAGTTTGTGATTAATTCATGTCCAAGGCTGGGATCATGGGTCTGAGGACTGCTGGAATTATGGGTGTGAGCGCTACACCCATCCTGGGGCAGACAGCCTGAACACGACTTAAGAGAGAGAGAGACAGACAGACTTCCTCTCTGTTGCAATTTTTGTCACTGCTCCTCCCTTTGCTCTCTCTTCTTTGCTACCACCAAGAAAGGTTGCTCTCTGCTATGTTCCGCTCTGCCTTGAGCCAGCTGAGCATCACTGAAACCTCCACTCACTGTGTACTAAATAAACCTTTACCTCCTTCATTTTGGGTGTCAAGTATTTTGTCCCAGCAACAAGAGAAAAGTAACTGAGACAGCCTTTGTGTGTTGTTATCCTAAGCAGCACTGTGGAACGTGATTAGGCTATGAGGGTGGAACCCTTATGAATGAGACTCGTCACTCCAAAGAGTTGCCTTGCTCCCTTTCTACCTTGTGAGGACCTGATGAGGAATCAGCAGTCCGCAGCCTGGACGGAGGTCTCAGCAGAGCCCAACCTGGAGCCACCCTGACCATGAACTTCTGATCTCCAGAACTGTGAGAAAAGGAGCTGTTCAGCCTATGGAACTCTGTTTAGCAGCCTGGGTCTGATAGGATACCAAGGCACTGCAGCTAAGCTAACGGTCAGCTGTTTAATCAACAGTATACAGGGCCCTTGCTCATAAGGAGCATGGGTGGTGATAGATTATGCTTCTATAGCTCTTCAGGGGTGGGTGTTAATTCCAAGCTTGCTCTTAGCCCACAATATGAAAATTCTGCACTACTGTTTAAATTTCTAAGAGCACACTTGATAGTGTATAGCCAAAGAAAACTCTCAGGTAGGTGCAGAAATGTCATATAAGGTACACGAAGAAAGGAAGGCACAGGCTGAGGAAGAACCCTGCGCCCTGATCAGGGTACAAGGTCTTATTCCCATTTCCTCACCAACTGTGGCTCCCTCAAGCCACTCCTCTTCTCATGGCTGTAGATTCTAGAACAAAGACTATTAACCTGAGACCAAAAACCCCTTTCCAGACAAGAGTTGAGGAGACCAGAGGCATTCAAGTTCATATCTAAGTGGAGTGCTTTCCTCCATCCTAAGAGAACATTCCTGACTTCCACTTCTCAGTGCTTCTCTGAATGTTCATGTAATACGAACAGCTGTGCAGGAGAACAGCTGCAGCTCCAAGTTGATCTCAGTGCCAAAGCTCGTTCCATGTGCCAAAGCTTGTATGTCTAAAATTTATTTTGCTCAATTAATGTCCCAAATGTATATCTAACTGCAGTAGAACATCCTTCATTCACTGAGTTATGTTGCCTTTGTGTGTTG